ATAATTTTTAATTTATTTATAACAAATCTCGTAGCAATTGAAATAAATGATAAGAACATCTACCTAGGCTACCTATGCGAGTAACAAAGAAGAGAACAACAAATAGAAAAGGAAGAAAAATATATAATATATTATATATACATGTATATATATACAGTAAAAGAAAGAAAGAAAGAAAGAGAAGGAAGAAAAATGAGAAAGAAGGTAGAAGGAAGGCTCGATAAGGAATAGGAAGAAATCCTCGCGTAAGGATAATTTACTTCTCCCTTGTAAAAAGGGAAGGGTGGTGCTGAAATATTTGCACAAGAAACCGGAGAAAGCGATTTCCTTCGTAATACGTGAGCTTCTTCTTCTTCTTCTTCTCTATCTCTATCTCTCTCTCTTTCTCATTCTTTTCTTTTTTTTTATCTTTTTCTCACAGATACATATATATACATAGAAACGTATACATAAGACACATAGAAATACATACACACACAAACATATTCACGTATTTTCTCTCTCTCTCTCTCTCTCTTTCTATTACCAACCCCTAACACCCAACCCCTAAACCCCCAAACCCACCCTTCTTCTTCCTATTTCCCATATCTTTCTATTTCTATTTCTCTCACCTGTTCTCTCTTTCACACTCGCTCACTTTTCGATAATGTATACACACACATAATCACACACACATATATATATATATATATAAATACTTTTTAGATTGCAAGTAGTGCGAATACCTCACAACCAACAACAACAACAACAACAACAACAAAGAAAAATCACTCTCTGTTGTATATATAATTTTATATGCATGACCTGCGGAGAAGAATAAGAATAAGAAGAAGACGTATATGTTAAGAAGGGTGTAGGGAAAGGGTATGGGGATGGGGTAGGAGGAAGGGCTGGAAGAAAAGACATTCTAAGCTAAGAGAAAAGCTCGGAAATTCTTTTTTTTCTTTCTTTCCTATCTTTTTCTTACTTTTTCTTGCCCTTTCCCTTTAACTCTCAGCCCCTCCACCCTTACCAATACCCCTCTTAACGTTCTCCCTAAATGTTAATCTCGAGAATTTTTCTCTTTTTTATTTTTTATTCCTTGACCTCTGCTTTAATCCCTTTCCCCTTTTTCTTTTTCTTTTTTCTTTTCTTTTCATTTATTTTCGTAGATATTGTTGCTGCTGCTGCTGCTTGCTGCTGCTGTTGGTATAAATTTATGATATTATTTATAACTATTCTTCTCGCGTTTTGTTTCTTTTTCTTTTTTTTTTTCTTTCTTTCTTTATCTCCCGAACCAATATAAAACAAAAAAATCGTCCAGTTTCTTACGTAACCCTTATTTCTTGTGCGAAATAAAAATGGAAATAATAAAAAAAAGAAAAGAAGTTAATAAAAGAAAGATAAAATTATTAACGAAACGATTTCTAACTTAAGAAATAAAAATTTAATACTAAAAATTCAAAAAAAGACACTTTTATGCGTTACGTTAGTTTAAATATTTCATCGAATAAAACTAACCGAGACAAAATTTAATTTGCAATTTTGTACGAGCCTCCTACCAAACCTCCCACCTCCCCCTCCCCCGCCCCCACCATTTCCCTTCCCATAC